GACTACTTAAATTAGACAATAACTAAAGTTGTACATGTGGCAGGTTGTACACTCTTCATGTAATTACAAACTATAGGAGATTGTCAACAAACAATCTCATATATTAAACTAATAAAATCCACTCAGCATAGTAAGCCCCCTTTAATTAAAAAAAAAAAAAAAAGCAGACTGCTTTTTTATTTACTTTTGAATTGTCAAATATGACCAAGTGAAAAAATTCCTAGAAGTTATGATTTTTCTTCTCTATTATAAAAAAAAAGTTACAGATATTACATATACAAATTTTATGATATTTTATATATTTAACAAGATATATAAGATATCTAATATGATATGACAACAAAAATCTTATTTCTATTTATGAAAGCCTTCTCCTTTTTTTACTTTTTTTTACTTTTTTTTTTTTTTACTTTTTTTTACTTTTTTTTACTTTTTTTTTTCTATTTTCCTCTTATTTTTGCACTACTAACTACTATATATATACAAGTTTTGGATTATTGCTTATGATATATAATTATTACTTATTAAAATTTTCAAATGTAATTTAGAGAGTAAAGTTTTAAACTCAATAATTTGTCATTAAGATTGAATTTTACATTTTTACTTATTATTATTTATTAAGTAAAAATAATAAAAATTAGTTATCTTATTTTCAACATAAGAATATAATTGTCACCTTATATATTTTGTACAGTTCAATTATAAGCTATCAAAAACAATTGCTTTAATTATTCATATTATTCATTTTGTATATGATTTTTTATAATATAGTACATACATATGAGGTTTAAAATTCTGCATATGTATTGTTATTCTATTTTTTATGTATTTTGCATAGCCTATTATTAATTTTGTGCAGATAACAATATATATACAATAAATTTTTAATACTGTATATATTGTTTTCTATGTACAAATGTCATAAGTGATTTTAGTATTTGATTAAAAAAGGTTATAATCTTATAGAAACATAGTAACTAAACTATTATTGACTTAAACCTATGATATTTAAAATTAGTCATGGCTTGATTAATTAGCTAAATTAATTTATAATTCATAAATTAGACTCAAATTATTTAATCAAATTAATTTGTTCATGTTTTAAATTTTAAATATATAGATTCTTTTATAGCAAATTAAGGCTTAGAAACAACAATTTTTTGATTTATAAATATTAACAATTAATCAAATTAATTTAGATATTTATATATAAAAAAGTTTAGTATGTATGCACATTCATTATACTGATATGCATTGTTGATATAATTTTAAACATATTTAGTAATAGTGATAAAAGATTTAAAGCTAAAATTAGAGCAGAAAATTAGTGTATATAAAATTACTGTGTATAGAACTATACCAAATTATAGTATATTAATATATGTTAAAAATTTTGCTATGAATAACTTACATACTTGTGAATATAATTCAATAAAATCTCAATTTTGGCTAGACTATCTCTAAACCCCAATTTGCTATAAAAGAACCTATATATGATATTCAAAAATTATATAAAAAGCATTACACAGGTTTTTCATAGCTAATAGGATAACAATTCAATATAAAAATAACTTTATGACCAAATGACAATAGTTATTTTCAAATGACTGTAATCATTTAGTTATGAGTCATTTTCAAATGATCTAAAATTTGAATGACTAATAATAACTAGTCATTTTGAAGTCATTTGAGGTTATCTGAAAAATAAACAAATGACTAGATTATTTATCATCACTGACTAGATGATATCAAACTTAAAAAATTAAGTAGAGTATATAATTATATATAACTTAATTACAACTCTAATTAATAATTTAATAAAGTTTTATAATATAATTGTCAAAAGAAAAAAAATAAAAAAAAAAGATTTTTTATAAAAAATAATATAACTATAATACTTATAGTTTTAAATCTCTAATTATATAATTTTTTTACTTTTATAGAAAATTATATAATCAAGTTATATTCAATTAAAATACGAATTTGATATAGTTTTTTTTTTTTTTTAAAAATATATTTTTTAAAATTTATATATACTTTTATTTTTTTTTTTTTTATGATTTGATATTTTATATATTTTTATAATATTTGACTATTTAAAATCTAAATATATAATCAATTTTAAATATATTAATTAACTAGAAATATAAATTATATATATTTTTTTTTTAGTAATTTTTTAATAAAATATTTCAACTTTAAATTGCTACTACTCTTTTTGTTTTACTTTAAATTTAAATCAAAACTACAAGTTTTGTTCTTAACAACAAGAATGTAATTTATAAGTAGTAAACAAAGTAGTAACATTTTTTAGAAAGCTAGTTTTTGTGTAGATTTAAAGCCACGAACATTATAGATTAAATTTTTTGTATTTTAATGAAAATTATATAGCAATAGATAAATAAATATAGCAATAGATATAATTTTGTAATAAAAAATTATTTTGCTATTTTTGCTAAATTTGCTAATTTTACTAGCTATTTTTGCTAGCTATCTTTGCTATTAACGGCGGGTGACCCTGCATGGAACATTGGGGTGTTCGATACACTATGTAAATCAAAACTATAAGTAGTATCATATAAAAAAAACAGTTTTTTTGATTTTTACTTATATACTATAACGATAATAATTCTTGAATTTTAAATTCGATACACAACTCTAATGGTTAGATGGTTTAAGATAAAATTTTGTATCAACCAAGATTATGTTTCTACAAACAAAGCTATAGAGCCATTTCTTTTATTTAACTATGAAAAAATTTTAATTAAAGATGACTTTTTTTTTTTTTTTTAAAATAGTAGTTTAAATTTTTTTCATAGAAAATTAAAAAAAATGGCTATATAGCTTTGTTTGTAGAGACATAATATTGGTCATTACAAAATTTTATCTAAAACTATCGAGCCGTCAGGGTTGTGCATCTATTTAAAATTCGCTAAGAATTATTATAGTATTTAAGTAAAAATCAAAAAATCTTTAATAATATGATACCACTTATAATTTTGATTTGCATAATGTACCGAACACCCCAATGGAACATCACTGAACATTACATAATAACATACGAAGTTACACAAACAAAAAATGGATATCTATAAAACGAATAAGCTTTCGTATTCAATTTTTTAATTTCGAAATGTCGACGTCTTCAACAACTTCAGCAAATACTCCGCGTTATGGTACTCTTCCAATAACTCCAAAACCCATTCCAATAACAAAAAACGGTGTCATAAAAATAAAAGAGCTTAGGCCATGGATTCGTGGTTTTGACTTGAAATGTATCATATTACAACATAGTATGTTATCTTTATTTTCAAACCTTAAAATTCGAATCTTAAATCTCATTAATCTCTAATTTATAGTTTCATCTCGTGTTTTGAAGTCTATAGCAGAAGTTGAGATTCATAATTTTCTTGTTGCTGACGATACAGCAGTGTGTACACTTGTTATTTGGGAAAATGGACAATATTACAAAAGTGGTGACATTGTTCAAATAACCCATGGGTAAGAAAAATTTTGTTTGGATTTTTATTGCAACCTTAAATTATGCTAAATATTAATTGTCTGTTATAGTGAAACTAGAATTCATGAAGGTACATTCGAATTGACTGTAAACAAAAATTTTGGAAAAATAAAAGTCGTTGATTGGTAATTAATAATACTTAATTATTAGAATGGTTATTATGATTAATTATTGTTATAAATTGAATTTATATTTGGTGATTATTTTATTTAAAAATTTCAGGGATGTAATGCCCTATGTCGAAGAAGAACAACCCAACTTGAGCAGTTTATTATGGGTCCAAGAAGAAGACAATCAATTTGTAAGATTATTAGAATACGAAAGGTTCCAAACCCTTTTTTTATTATCAAAAGTGTTTGGAAACTCTATATACAATATATGGTTAATCCATTCAAATACTCACGTTATCCTTTACCATAAAAGGTACCAAAGACTCATAATCATGTACCTCTCGATTTAGTTACTTTTAAACCAATTGAACAAAACTCTCAACAAGCTCAGAGAAATAATAGTGAATCACAAATACAGACGATGACTCAACTAACGAACACTGAAATCAAACAAGAGGATGATGTTAAAATAAAATTAGAAGAAGAGATAAATGGCACTTCGAATAATGTCTCCGAAGTAAAACAGGAGCAACAACATATGCGCCCTCAAATGTGGCGTCAATCGAGCGAATCACGGCAGCATCAATCTGGCCATCTATCATCTCAACAATTTGATCGCCCGCGCGGCGCTAAACGTAAACAATCTTATAGGCGTGATAGCTGGTGGTCAGATAACCGTGACCGTGATCAAGACAGAGATGGAATGAGAGGCGATTCGAGAAATGAACGTGGCGACCGTGGTCGAAATCAGGACAACAGACGTGGGCGTCAACAACCACGTAGTAGGGGAAGTCGTGACTGGGACCGAGGTAGAGACAGGGATCATCGTGAACGTGAATGGGAATATAATAGACCACATACCGATCTTGATCGTCCAGAAGAGGGTGAACTGGTGGACATTGATTTTACTTCTTTTTCTGCTGGTATGAATAGAGGAGAAAATAATCATTCTGCTCGCAAGCAACCAGGGCTTGATTGAATAAATAACGGATGGACATTAATGTATTTAACATTGAGGATAATTAAATAAATTATTTTGTTAATTATTAAGCTTCATAATTTCGTTATCCATTCACGTTGTACATTACATCATATTTATTATTTTTGTTGTAATAATAGAATTAATTTTTTTGAGAGTTGCAAAATAAAAATGAAAACCTGTAAATGAATTATTTAAGTTTTCACCGTAGCGAACTGGACTTATTATATGAATATATATAATCTTGCTTTTTTCTTTTATAACTTTTATATTAAGAATTCTTTAGGAATAAAAACCTTATATCACTCTTTGTATTACACATAAATAAATAGTGACGTAATACTTTATACCATTAAAATCTCTTAGTTATATTAGATGACTTGTCATAGGTTATTCGGTCATAATATAGTAAAGTTTATAATTTATTTTTTACTATATAATTACTGAAGTTACATTAAAAAATTGTTATGACTTGAGTCATCGGCCAACACTGCAGATTTATACTTTAAGTTAAACTCAGTAACTCTAAAATTAAACTACTTTATTAAAACTACTAAAAAATTAAATTACAAATAAGTGTTATTAAGTAAAAAGCAGAATAAATTATTAAGAATTTTATAAAAATCTATTTTTAAAATTCCTAGTTTTTATTTGGTAACACTAAGTATACTTATGTGTTATAGATTTATCATGACTAATAATAGTAAATACTACTTATGTACTGTATATACAATATATCAAATCTAATAAATCTTAATGGCCATCTTATACCTGATACTATATATATTTATAACTAAAATAAAACAAAATTTTATGTTAAAAATTATGTATATAAAGCCTTATAAAAAATTTAACACGTAGCAGATAACATATCGGTAAAAAAAAAAACTGTAGGCGTTTCTATAATAAATATTTAATAAATAATTTGATGGGATCAGACCAATTTGGCAACTTATACATTGCTCTTTTGATTACCGAAATTTGTCTAGTTACATCGTTCATCTTTTTTATACTTTATAAATGCAATAAGATTCTCATAAGCTTCATCTGCACGGAAACGTAAATCACGAAACTTTCTCTTATCAATAGATTTTGTCTTCAGTTACATGAAATTTATAAAAAAAAAAAAATAATTAGAAACTGGTTAATTTTAAAGAACATTTTTTTTGCTCTTAAACTTACCATCTTACGAACAGCATCAACTATATTTTCGAGTAAAGAAAGGTAACCATTTTGAACAAAAACAGGTTCATCATAATCGAAATCTTTGTCAGCGTATATGTCATATATAGAATTAAGAACTTCGATTATACATTCCGGTGATGTAAAATCATCTTTTGAAGAACTCAGGATATTGAACAAAAAAGTGCCTATCAACTGTCGAATTTTAGAGATTACCTTAAATGCTCATATAATATAAAACATTATAAAAATAACTGTGTCATTACCTTATTATCATCTATAGCATTTTGTCGTCTTGCAATCATACCTAATGTACCGATTATCTTAACATGCATTGCGTCATATGCACCTGATGCGTAGCAACCAATTAAACTATGAATTTGATTACCAGTAACAGGCTTACAGGTAGAATATATCTTAATACACTTATTATGAATAAAAATATCGCAAAATATTCAATTCAATACATACCACATTGCCTTCCAATCCTCTAGTCAAAGTCCAAAGGCATCCTATTAATGCTTCCAGAATTTTTCCTCTAAATTCTTGCCCTGGTTTATCTATTCCTTTCCCAGTAACTTGAGTTCCCAATTCAAACAGTCGCGTCCATGCTTGTTTAGCATCATCTCGATTCTGTGTAAACCACCATTTATCTTCGACATTATCCACCATTATCAAAAAGAAATTATTAATACATTCAATCGCTCTTAAATGTACTGTTGCAAGTGATGACGTGATTTCTGGGGTAACTGAGGGTATTGGTAAAACGTTAGGACCAAGTTGTTCAGGGAATGATAAATGTGTTGGGCAAGCTAAACCAAAAAGTCTGGGTAGAATGATGGAAGCAAATGTATTTAATATAGGATGTATTTTTGATTGTTTATCAGGTTGATCTGAATCCATCATGATAATATCTTCCATTATGTTGACATCATCTCCAACATTAACTGATATCATGTCATTATCTTGGGGCTCATCTTGCCATCCATCATCATCTTTATAGTAATAACATAATAAATGTTTAATTTTCAAGTTATGAATATGTATATATAGTAAATTACAAATATATTACCATTTGAAAAACAATCTAAACAAATCTTTGACAAAATTTCGAGTGCAAGTTGTAAAGTAGTTAATCGCACATTAATCCTGTTTAAATTATTCTATTATTAAAAAAAAATTTGCAATTAAAAAAAAAAAAGATTATGTAACATAAAAATAATATTTAAGGTGAAAAAACTACCTCTGCTGTTGGCAATGTAAATTTTGGATCTTTTATAGTTTCTGACCCTTGAGCATTTTTCTAATTCAAACAATGTTGTAATTTTATTAGTAAACAATTCTATAAAACAATGTCATTATTAATATACGGCAAAAGGTATTACAATCTCTTTAACATTTTCAATAGCTTCATC